AATATGCATGTAGAGAATTAAGTAACATGCAAAAGAGAGAATACTGAATGATATATGTCTCTAACGTCATCAATACTATTTCCGCCTTTATCTCGAAAGTTCTATTCTCATTCACAGGTCAGAGTTATCTTTCTTTGCCCACCTTATACATACTACGTAAATAGAGAAAATTTCGGTACCGAAAATATACAAAATGCGGAATCTGATTTAAAAACAAATTATATATTTAGTATTTGTAGAAAAATGTCTGTTTTACATAAGAATATCTTGAAAAAATATCTAAAAACAAAAAAATCAAAAATTGACCAAAAACAAATTTACTTCCGGTTCGGACAGGATGTACTGGAAACACACGAAAATAACTTCAAAACAAATAGAATATCATGATCTAATACTCCTTTAAATTTCATATCTTTACCTCAAACCGTTTCCGAGAAAACTGCCGGACAAAAGTCCATTTTAAAATTCGAAAATCGGCCGTAACTTCGGACCGGAAGTGAATTTTTAAAAAAATGGAATTTTATATAAACTTCATATATTAACCTACTTACATGAGAAAAATTGTGAAAATCTATCCAGCCATCTCTGAGTAATCGCGCTCACAAAAATTGGGAGGAATAATAATAATAATAATAATAATAATAATAAAAAGAAACAATACAAACACTATAAGTCTTCCGTTGTGAACGGAAGACTTAACTAGAAAGTCTGCTATTGCAAGCAATAGCATATGTCGCCCCGTACTGGAGAAGACTTTCATTTTTATCATCACTAAAACAATGGTCCATTAGCTAAGCTTGGACAACCATCGAGTCGTATTAGTCCTTTCCGTTGGAAACGGAAGACCTTAATTGGGTACATCCCATTTTATTTTTAGAATCGGTAGGAGAAGAAAGTAGTGCAGGAAAATTACAAGTTCCTAAATTTGCAGAATTGCATAAAAGAAATTGGGCAGATGTACTGAACTGAGCCTTATACTTGTTAATTGGCAGTATCTTTCCTATCATAAAAGCTTGGGAAATGTAATCTATGAAGAAGATCAGCCGAATTATTTTGTGTATAGTAATGCCAGTGAGAACTCTGAAATTTCCCTCTTTCACTTTCATTTTAGAGGTTCTACCGAAAAACGAATCTGACATGCCACCATCAATTCGAGTATTTCTGCATTGCAGAGAGCTGATGTATGTTATGAGATGATAAATCATGTGTAAACTTTCTCAGTTTAGCGGAATCATGAACATTTTCGGCGAGATGAATGTTTTGTATACAGTGGTGATCAAGGCTTCGCGAACCTTCAGGAGCGGATCAAAAGATTTTTGAATGAATAAAAACTATGAAAATGACGTACCAATTTTTTAATTTATACTTGCACTATCTAATGAAATGAATAATATACAAGTGATAGATATACAAGAAAACGCGAAATGATAATAAATGCAGCTGACAATCGTTATTTTTTTTTTATATAGATAAAATAAAATATTTATAAATTCAAGAGACAAAACAGGAGGAGAATGAATGATGGCAAAATATCACATGACGGGAACTGAATTTTATGAATGAAGATTTTAAAAAGTTACTTGTAAGTTGTATATGTTATATCTGTGTATTCTACCTGGCTGTGTGCTTCAAAAGGGGGGGGGGTCGTCTTGAACATAGTAAATAGCCATAACGTTTGAACGGTAAGTACTAGGGCTTTCGTATTTCAAATATGTAATCCTTGTGAAAAGAACTTTTATTGGATACGACGAACTTTGACCCTTTGACCTGGACCTTGGAGAACACGTGTACATCTGAATCTTTTTTTCTGTTTCGTTTCTATGGCAACTGTGAGCGACTCATTACAATTATTTTGAAAGTAGAAATCACTTTGACACATTGCAAGGAATAAACATTGAAAGTTTCAAAACGATTGCCTGAGTAGTTATTGAGAAAATCGAAATTAAAGAATTTTAACTCTCACCTGGTTTCCATGGCAATAATCAATTATTTGAAAATTTTAAATGCGTAGTACACAACTACAGATACTAATCCTTAAAATAAGAAAAGTTTCATGACGAGCGTTTAAGGGACCACAGAGAACACTCTCGGACAAAATTTGTCGCTTTTTACAGGTTTCCATGGCAACGGTAGACATATTGGAACTGAATGACCTCACTGCACAACTACAACCAGTGATCGTCCTTTGAGGAAAGTTTCAGGAAGATTGTCCCAGCCATCTCCGAGAAACAGCCTGGATAAAAAAAACATGCGTACAATATCAATATGTCGTCCCCGACTTCGTTCGGGGCGACATAATAATAATAAGAAACAGAGTAAAAACAATATGTTCCCCAACTTCGTTTGGGGAACATAATATGTTCCCAAACTTCGTTTGGGGAACATAATTACCACAAAAGTTAATAATTTCTGTTTTCCATTCTAGTGAAAAAAGCCTTATGCAATTTATAAATAAGATTTTTCTTCCAATTCGATACTGCGGAAGACTGGACATCATAATTAATATATACAAAGTAACAAAAAGTTGACTTTAACATTGTTTATTACAATTTTTTTTACAAACATAAGATCAAAAACATCAAGATTCTTGACAGTATATGTTACCCACATCCTATCCTGCAAATCACATACACATAAATAAGTATCGAAGACAGAGTACATTTCACGAAAATGTTTTTCGTACGTGACATGTTTTATAATAAAACCAACTGTACATTCTTGAATTTAAAGTTGTGAATCAACATAAAACTACTATGTTCCTCTTTCTTGTGGATATTGGTTTCAGTGGAAATCAATAACTGTCCAAATGTATTTGTCACATCTCCCTTTTCATAGTCCAAAACTTTTCTTCCCATGCAGGCATTCTTCTAATGCTTTTCCTAAAAGAAAAAAAAATAAATCTGTAAGTATATTTTCAGTGCTATGCATAAGTATGAATATTTTCAAAGGCATCTGTTATCAGAATTCACAATACTATGATTAATAAAACTAAAAACAATGCACAACCTAATTAATAAATCAAAAGTTCATACATGACCTTTAACCTTAAAAATAAAAATTGTATTAATCTAATAAGATGAGTGGACCTCTTTTTATTGACATATTATATGAAGAATCAATGGGTTAGGTCATGTATCCCTTATCACAAAAAGCCTAATGCCTAAAATTACAATTTGAGAATTATGAACTTTTTAAGGGTACTTATCACAATCAAAGAATAAATCCCTGAAACATAAAGAAATGATAGGTTTTCCTGACTACTCAGTAGTCAGTTTACAAAAAGAACAAAATAGTGCTACATATTTAGCTTAGCTGTACATGTGTACAGAATCATACTCAAGTTATGGTTTAGGATATATGTACCTTTTTCCCAAATAGCATGTTTCTGCTCATGAACTTTTTCTTGATATGGAACAGTAAAAGGACTTTAGGTGAGAGTCCCTCAAATTTAAGATGACAATCATGCTAAAATAGAATTCATATAGTGATTAACATTTTATACACCTGGACAAATATATAGTCAATATTTTTATTAAAATTATGAGTTTGAAGCTCACGATCACCAAAAAATGAATTGATTTTGAAAATTCATACACAATACAATCACAGTTAATAGCTATGAACTGCCATACACCCTTTTTTTTATCAAGAATACTTTAAAATTAAATCTAAACAATACTTGCCATCTATAATATGAAACTTGAGAGCCCGCCTCTTCTTCATGACATATCTTTTAATTTTCTCATGGTAGGCAGAGTAGTTTGAGCCTATACAAAAGAAATTGAACATTTCATACGAATACATCTGACAATAATGACTCCTGAGCAAGTCAAGCACTAAATAATGTAAATCTTTGTTCAAGTAACATTTCACGATACTTATTATTTGATTTTTTAAAAATGTGCTTGTACCACTTTGGGATCCTCAATCATGTTTTGTCGTCTTCCTCGCCCCGTCTTAATGTTTTCCCTTCAACAATCTGCAAACTGATTTCACTCAACCTGTATTTTAACAAAATGGACACAATTAAAATACAAAATGTTATAAATTAAATAAACTTATTTGTCAATTTCGGAGTTGAAACTCTCAGCCAAGGCATAAATATATCCGTAACTAAGTTTTATGACAACTGGTTGTGTATATTCTCAGTAATTAGCAAAAACCCGGTTTAAGTTTCAAATTCCCGGCCCGGCTTGGTTTTAACTACTCATTTTAGTCCCACTCCAGAATTGTTTTTCTTTGTCTTGTTTAATATTCCAGAGACATACACCTTTACAGAATAAACTGAAACCCATAAACATTTAATCCCCAAATTATCAAAATAATAATCTAATATTCTGGCAGTAAATAACATATACAGCGAAGTTTTGCCTGACTTTCATTGTTTCACTACATGTATGCACAATGTACTGATCTAAGCTGAAAGTGAAAACGGCTGGAAATCGTAAACAAACCTGCAGTGCATGCCTATCCGGGAGTTCGAGCAGTTGTCAAGACAAGAATCTCCTTAAATCTAGATGAGGTTTCAAATAATTACCACAGGTTGCAAACTTCGTCAAAATAGCGATGCAGACCCGCTCCACTTGATTTGAAATGATTGGCTATTCAACCGAATACACAGTGCCATATTTGGATTACTTATCAGAGTAGATCGTTCGTTTTACATTCGAGAAGAGTTTACATATTACTTGAATGAAGAGGATAACATAATATTGAGCTGAAAATTGTGTGTAAAGTATGTTTTAGTAGTTTACAATACAGTCTGTAAATGTGCGGGAGATTTTATTGATATTGAGGCTTGTAAACAAAACCAATAAACGTAGGACTTATTCACGGCATCGTATGGGAACCAGCCTAAAAGGCAAAGAAAATTCCGCCAAGTAAACAACAAAGAAAGGGATTTGGGATGTTGTCAGTTGTATGTATACATTATGTGCGACAGTGACTGAAAGGTAACACATGTGAGGTGAGCGGCAGATTTAATTTTGAAGATGAGTGACTTTCAGATGTTGTGATGAAGATTGTTGAAAGGGATTATCAGCATAGAACCAATCCATATGAATGTGCAAGTCAGGTGAAGATTGGACTTCAACGTGTAATCAAGAAATGTTTATAGATGTACATAATGTGCGATGGTGACTGCAAGGTAATACATGTGTCTTATTTGTTACGAATAATTTGTTTCATTTTATTATGAAAATTTATCCGTATTAACACTGGCAGAAATATAGTTAATCTGACTTCAAAATTCCTTCCTCTGTTCCCCCAAGTACATGTAACACTCTTCACTCTCATTTTTTAAAAATTTTCATTGTATAATTTTTGCAAAAAAAAAAAAAAAAAAAAAGGAATGTGGAGCTAATGCATGCTGCTAAGGATGGAAAAGTCTTGTGTTTATTGGTTGTGCCTGAGACACCAGTCACAGTTGTATCTTATTTCCATTTAAGGTAATGTCTTTTGAGTTTTTTTAAGTAGAGGGAACACTGCATTTTTCATTTAATATAAATGTAAAATTCTAGAGATAACTTTTTTTCACCATTGCTGGATATTCAGTACATGGTTTTATCTAAAGAAAAGTATTTAAATTATTTTCTCACAATTTTTAAAGAGGCCGGGGTATGGTGAAGAGATAATTCATTTTTTATTCAAAATTTTATTTTCCATGCATTTGTACAGGGAGTCTATATACATTTGAGGTGAGCGGCAGATTTAATTTTGAAGATGGGTGACTTTCAGATGTTGTGATGAAGATTGTTGAAAGGGATTATCAGCATAGAACCAATCCATATGAATGTGCAAGTCAGGTGAGGATTGGGCCTAAAATAAAATTATGTTTGTTTCCTGTAACCTGACCGACCCATTCAAATTATCCCTGGGTGGATTTTTTTCCCTGACAAATGGCAAAACTTTGTTTGATCAATCAGCTGATTCCATTTAATAAATTAAAACAATAGCTTGTAGCTTAATTTGAGACATAAAATATGTCAACCTAGTTTACATTTACCTTAAATATAAAGAGTAATCATTATTGTAACAACAGTTTCCCCCTACAACTTTCTGAAGCTTGTTTTCTGCCGCTAGGCAGCCATTTTGGATGCCATGTTGGGTGTCCACTGTAAATATAACACCTGGTATTTTCAAAACAAGCTTATTTTTTTTTAAGCCTTGGACTTCAACGTGTAATCAAGAGATGTTTATATATTGCTTAGCTTAATAGTGAAAGCACACCACAAACATTTTAAGTATCTCAGTAAGTTTCATGGATATTACAGATGTATCACTATCATATGTTTGACATTGAGTCGCATCGTCTAAATTTCCATTATGTTTAGTTATACATGTTTTAAGTTACTTAAGTATGTCTTCAAAAGCTTGTGCTTTAATTTCAATAGAAGTAATGAAAACCTCTTTAAAATTTGTATTGTTTTTCTTTATAATTTTGAAAATGATTATTATTAGGACTTGTACAACACCTGAGTACCTAGATGACTGTTGAACTAATTGGTGACCAAGAAAAGATGTCAGAGAGGGGAATCCAATACAGATGTCATGATCAAGAATATATACTGTTATCAATGATATGATCAAGAATTTGTAAACTTGTAACGATTTAAAACATCTTATCTGTAAATCACTCTTCATTACTTAATTGTTCACACATTATCATCTACACTTATGCTATAAATCTTATCTGTATATTAATCGCCCCCTCTTATCTAACCCCCTGCTGATCGTAATGACCTGTGTATTGACTCCTGATCTTAAGGATCTTGTAATGTGCTCCTGAACGTCAGGAACGGATCTTGAGTATATATATAGTGTGACAGAACTTTAGAATAAGATAGGAAGATGGAAATATAGAAGACTAAGTAGATAGAACTGTTAGAGATAGATAAAGTTACTCACTTACTTGGACTATTACCTAATATTTCTTGGATTTATATGTACATGTGATTGTTTTACTTGGATTTTATTTTTTGTGAATTATTTTTCCTGAATGTTTCTATTTGTGATGTGCTGTGTAAGTGAACTGTAGACTAGAATTTCAGCATCTATTTTCAAGATATGAAGAACAAGTATAAATTAATTTATTCATGCAAACTAACATTATGAAATGTGTTGTAAGACCGCTCGGTGCGGCGCTACAAACTAACTAGGAAATATCTTGGAGATTTATAGATGAACATGCAAGCATTCATGATTTTGAATGTTATTCAGCCAGAGAGTTTTTGCACAAATTTAATTTTCAGTACAGTAATTTAAACTGGATGTGTAATTTTCAGTACAGTTATGTAAAATGAATATGTTACTTATTATGATTGTCAATTTTTCAACAGGACATAATTGTAGTTTATTTATACGATCACTCTTGCAGAACAAAACACACAGAACTTTTTTTCTCTGCGTGCATCATACACTTGTAAACGTTTTACACCACCATGTTTACATATTTTACATTGATGACATGCAAATCGAGCACACACATGAAAATGCGTATACCTGGATACATGCAAAAATGCGTCTACCATAACCTATTACATATTTTTCAAGGTGTGTGAAGTCGAGCACATACATGAAAATGTGTGAAGCTGGACACATACACAAATCAACATGCATCTGCCATAACCTATTACATATTTTCCAAGGTGTGTGAAGTCGAGCACATACATGAAAATGTGTGAAGCTGGACACATACACAAATACATAAGCATCTGCCACAACCTATTATATATTTTCCAAGGCGTGTGAAGTCGAGCACATACATGAAAATGTGTGAAGCTGGACACATATGCAAACACACTAACATATACCACAGACATAAAAACATAATCTTAACTAAGTCAAGCACAGACAGGCTCACTGGGTGAAGCTGGACTCATACATGATCTCATGCATTTTGCAAACTACATCCTCACACATATTCTAATAGATTTTTCACCATTTTTTGTGTTTGTGAATATTTAAAATGCATCATTTTGCATTACAAGTTGAAGATGTTATTAGCCTGTATATAAGCGCAAATCAAATAGCCTTTTATGTAATTTTTTTCACATTTTTGTATTTTATATGTACATGCACCATAAAGAATGAATAATATTGTACCAGTATTATATTTTAAAGTGAAATGGGACCTCGATTTCATAAGCAGAAATGTGAAATTTATAGTATACTTATCATCTGTATTTTTTTTAATTTTGTCTCACATGTATCTGAATGTTTAAAGGAAAACAAAAGTCATAGATAGCTCAATATAAAGTTTATATTCAAGGTTATAACTTGATATTGTTTGTGCTGTATATCCGACTCTTCATATGATAAGAAGCCAAAATACAGAATATTTTAGATCATTTTTGTTTGGAAAATGAAAATTATCAATATGCCATTTTTTCCCATTGTTATATTATTAATTAATATATCATTAATATCAATGTACATATAAAAAAATCTATGCCATCCAATCCAGAGAGTTGTAGGCAATCCTGGTGCAGATAATATTTTTTTTCCTGTGTTTGGTAGTAGAGCGGGAACATTGTTTGAGAGGAACGTATATTAATGGTTTTGGTTGTACATGTGGGCTTGGCCAAAGGAAGGCCAATGAGAAATGAGTATTCAGTAAGGTGTTCAAATCATTCTAAGCCAGCGCTCTTCAATACACACACATTTTTTTTGCTTTATATATAATATATATATCATATTTGTATAAATTTTCTGGTAATGGAAATAACAAAACTGTTGAAATGTATTTTAATTTGGATTTTTCATACATGCAAATATTAAAGGGTGTTCGTGCATTTTTAACTATTGCACTGAATGCACGTCCGGCATTCTCCCTTGAGACATTATTTACATAGCGACGGACACAGGTTTTCCATAGTTAACCATCTATGGTTTTTGCCTGGGCGGTTTTTAATGTCTGTGATAGGGGTATAATTTATTACAAGTAAAATATTTTACAAATGCATTGCAGTGCTTTATTGTTTCACATTCAATGTAATGTATGTTAAATATTTATGTATTGTTACATGTATCAAAATAAATGCCAGCTGCTCCAACTAAGCTAACCTGGCTTACAGCATAGTTGTTGTATTATTTGAGGTGTAGTCTGTCAAATAATGATGAGTTGAGTGTTTGATTCTGTAGATGACCATTTCTAATACTAATTTCAACTGGAAATGGATACAAGATAATTAAAAAAGATATCTTTGACATTTGTCTTAAAATTCTGGGTACTGACTAGATTAGATTCTTTAAACTAACTGTGAAAATCCAAAGTATAGGTGTATTAAACAATAGTCAGCATTTAAATAAGACTTTTATAAAATATGTATATTTAATGAACTTTAATATGGCATTAAAGGTGAAAGGTTATATTTAATTATCTTTTCGTGTAAGTAAAGGTTACCTTTTCACCTTTACTTTTTGTAAAGTTTATACAAAGATGACCTTGCTTTTTGGAGCACCTTTAATGAAATTTACTTTGCAAGTAAAGTTTTGTAAAGGTGTTTTTTCAAGCAGTGTATTTACCATTGCTCAACGAGTCCCAGGTCGGTATCCTTACCTGTATCGAGTACAAGATTATAACCAGGAGGAATTAGAAGGGACTTTTTACGGGAAAGAATTACAACAGATCATTAAAAAAGACGACGTGTACGAAGTGGAGGAAATCTTGGGGTATAAAAAGCGACGAGTCGGGAAGAAAATCATTCAAGAAGTCAAAGTCCGGTGGAAAGGATATCCCCCTAGTTTCGATTCATGGATTCCTCAAACGGATCTCATCCAGTAACACCTCATTGGAAATTTTGTGGAGAGAATATTCCTCGAGAAGAAATTGTGTATTTTGCACAATTATTCATTTGTATTTCCCTCATCATCACGAGTGTGGTCATGTTAGCTTTACACGATCCTAATCGCGAATATTGGATGGGCTGTGTAAGTTTTTCGGTGGGTTACATCATGCCTAGTCCTACTATGATGCATCAAACCCCTACGGTCAAGAAGACGAATTCACCAAGTTAGTCCCGGAATCTAAAAATAGATACACCCCTCTATCTAAAAATGAGACACCCAAAGCCTAAGAGGATCATTTCTGATCTGAGTGAGGGACAGAGCACATAATGGAATTTTTAAGCTCAGAGTATCGTTGGAAAATAGTTGAACCTGAAGGTTCTAATCACAAAGGAGAATGGATGAAAAACAAAGAGACATGTATTCAAGATTTCTTTGATAAGAATCCAGGACAAACAGGTCTCAATGAAATCTACCTGTATAAGAGATTCAAGTTACCGGACCGCCAAAGAAGCAAACATATGGTCTTAATAGGACCCAGATCAACTAAAGATGGAGAATTCAAATGGAAAGGTAATTATGTCTTGGCTCACCGAACACAGGGACCCGAGAAGACTTTGATTCATGGGAAATGGATGAAAATATACAAAGATTGTATAGAAGACTATTTGATAGAAGTGATCGTAAAAGGATACGATATCATAGACTGTACTTGTGAAACAGACTATTTGTACATGAGGAGACCTTTTCCCATACAAAAAGAACTGAACAGAAGTTTTGAATGTTTGTTACTAGTATTATGATGTTCTTGTTCTTGATGTTGTTATGAATAAAAATAAAAGAAAAAAATTCTAGTGTTGTTATTTTTTTCCCCTATATACACATAACTAAACACTCTTTATACACACAACAGAGCGCTCTCTATACACTAGCTTTGTCATGATGACGTCACAATCACGGATTTGAATCGCTGCCAAGTATTACCTGTGTAGTCAGCATAAAAAACGTAGGTAAAACGTATTGATGCACACGCCCCCTAATTTTTAGCTCTACTGGTCAGAGACCAGAAGAGCTTATGCGATAGTAATGCGTCCGGCGTCCGTCCGTCTGTCCGTCTGTCTATCCGTCTGTCTGTAAACAATTTTTCAAAATGCTACTCCTCCTACAGTTTTGGTCTAATTTCAATATAACTTAGCACACAAGTAGACTACACTAAGATACATAATTCTGTGTATCGGTTTTTGATTTCGATGAACGGTGTTGCTGTGGTTACTAAAAATAGAAATTTCTGTGAAATTCTTTCAAAATGCTACTCCTCCTACAGTTTTGGTCTGATTTCAGTATTACTTAGCACACAAGTAGACTACACTAAGATACATAATCCTGTATATCGGTTTTTGATTTCGATGAACGGTGTTGCCGTGGTTACTAAAAATAGAAAGAACCTGGTTCACTTGTCGCAAAATTCGGCCCCGTGTCAAAATTAATAATATTCCTCTAAGTTCTTCTAAAGAGTGTATATTTTTATGAAATTATCAATATATACCTGTACAGAGCTTTATTTATGTTTTACATAGCTGTAAAGGTAGCATTGTTTACGTTAACGTTGCGATATTTTGACGTTGATTTATGCGACGTCATAAACAAGAATGGGATACAGGATATTTCAAAATAAGTCCAGCTAGCATGCATTTTTCATTTTGAACGTTTAATGAATTTCATTCACAAACGTAACGCGATATTTTTTGTTCAACATTGATATAGCATACGATACTTACTAGATTCATTTTCCATAATTAATAGCAAATCTATTAATCAATTGGTATGTTTGGATTTGATTTTGTAAAAAAAATCGTATTTAGAGAAAAGTTGTGCATTTGGAGAGTTTTCATGTGTTCGCGGACTGATGCCATGAGATTCATACCGCTACAATATTTTAAAGAACTTTAAATATTAAAAAAACTGTACTTGTAAATGTTGAAAAAATCAACTTGATTCTTTAAACATTTTACTATTTCATCGTTAGTGGATGACCCTGCTCTATATGTCGCCCTTTAAATTGCTTAATGGCAACGTCATTGCTTCTCTATCTTTTCTCCTTCTGCCTCAATACACTTTTCTTAAAATAACGAGATATCATCGTATTGATAAATTTTTATTGAAACTGTTCTTGTTAATATGAGTTTAAAATTTTATAAACAACTGATTTCAAAACACAACATTGAAGATTGAGCAACGATGAAGAAGAATGATCCTCAGTCAATTATTTTGCTCGTT